AAGTCACTTTCGGATCCTGGCCCTGACTGCCACCCCTGGCAGTGACACAAAGGTGAGTCACATCTGTTTCCAGGGTTCCAATAAACCAGTTTGAGTAGAAACTGTTTAATACCAGTGTGAATACTCTGCAGGGTACTGGAGTCAGCAAAACTCAATCTCTTTACCATCTGTTTGTGGTTAAGGGTTGATCTTTTTCATGCCATAGGCTCTATGCTTATTTGTGAGGGTGCTGAGGCACTGGCACAGGTTGCCCAGAGAAGCTGTGGCTGTTCCATCCCTGGGAGTGTTCCAGGCCAGGTTGGATGGGGCTTGGAGCAACCTGGGCTGGTGGAAGGTGTCCCTCCCTGCCTGTGGCATTTCCTTACAGTTGTGTTCAAGCCTTGCTAGACTGTGGCAGTAATTCCCATGCTGTGACATTGTTGGAGTGTTAACAAGCAAATACCTTTGCTTTTTGTGGGTTCCTCAACAGGCTGTGCAGCAAGTCATCTCCAACCTGCTCATTGCTCAGATAGAGATGTGTACTGAAGATTCCCCAGAGATTCAACCTTACTCTTATGAGAGACAAGTGGAAAAGATTGTGGTTCCACTTGGGGAAGAACTGGTGGAGATTCAGAACACCTACATCCAGGTGAGTTGGTGCATTTCTGTGTTGGTACGTGGACAGTGACAGTGAATATATTGACAGCTCTAGGCTTGCAATAGCTGATAAAGGCAACACCTCCCTATGCAATTAACATTTTCTTTGAGCACAAGGCAATGGAAAAACCATGTTTTCTACTCCAGCAGCTGCTGTTCCACTTTGCACCAGTGACACCTGTTACCTTGCAGTAAAAGCTCAGGTGGAAAATTTGCAGTGGAATTAGTTTTCTTATTCTCTTTCTGGAGTCTCTGCAAAATTACTATGAGACCCAAACTGAGAATTACTTTGTTTTGGGCTCAGTGATCTCAGAGGTCTTTTCCAACCTAATTGTTCCTGTGATTTGGCTGAGTTGAGTGTATCAAAGTGTGGGTAATGGCCATGGTTGTGTTATGCAGGTTATTACCTGCCTTATGGAATCTGTCTGTGCACTGGGACATTTGCTCTGATTAAGAATATTCTTTAGAGCTTTAAGTCATCTGTAAGTGTAATTAGTTCTCCTGGATTTTTTAATAGTTTTTTTGGAGGGGTTTGTTTGTTGTTGGTTTTTTTCCTTCTGAGAGCTCTTTTTTCTCTTCTTTTTTTCCCCAATCTGTAATGTCCAAATATAGGAGAGATTTTCAGTGCTCAGAACAGTGTAGCCAGTCAGACTTAATGATCTGTGTCTTCTCACTAAGGTACCAGTAGGCAAATGTGCTTATTGTTTGCTAAGAGGCATAAAAAATCAGGATTAAGTTAGTACCAGACTGTTGACCTCCAAGTATGGTTTTGGTTAGGGTTTAATGACTTTGGTGTTGTTTGTGAAGATCGTTGCAAGGCAAACTTGTAAGTGCATCATGTGTTTTCAAACCAGTGACCTGAGAGTGAATTTAAGTGAGCAAATTCCACTGGTAAGCTTTAAAAATACATTTCAAGGAGAGTTTTGCATCACTGCAGGTGCCTCTGAGCACTGCTGAGTGCAGGGATTGGTTTGGGGCTGTTTCACTTGAGATTTAAGCTGCAGTAAGCACCTATGGCTATGTGCTGGTGTAACTGGGAAGCATGGACAAACCTTGCCAGGGCTCCAGTGGTTTGTTTCCTCCCTTTGGTCTGATATTTGCATTGCTACTGCTTTACTTAGAGACTACAACTCCTAGTAGCATAGAGGGGGTAAGAGGCTGGTTTGGTGTGTGTGGACAAGCCAAACCTTGGCCGTGGAGGCCTCAGCACATTGCAAAGTGGCTCCTGTGCCTCAGTTTGTGGGTTTATATAAGGGGCCATTTGATATCTGGGGCTCAAATAGCCTTTGTAAAATCAGAGCAGCAGCTCGTGACTCCCCTGTTCCCACCCAAAGGCAAAAGGACGGGTGGGTGTGCTCCGAGGACCAGAGCCAGGTGTTCTCTGCACAATACAATCATTACCTTTAATTCTGACAGACAGTACCAGTAAACAAGACAACATTTGAGTGAAAATGAAGGACAGTGTAGAACTGCACAGCACAAGGATGCCAGAAAAACCTCTGTCTCTATGTGTTTCCATACAAGAAGCAAGGCCCTGAGTGTCACAACAGCTGGAATAGACATTTTAGGCACTAACACTTGCTTGGAAAATACACTGTATGCAGGACATCACTCATCTCTTAAGGCTACATCATTTAATCTGCCAAAAACAGGGCTGATTTCTGGTTTAGTAGCTCCTTTGAGCAGTGGAAATCTAGTAACTTCAAATGAAAAGTGAAAATCCATGGATGTCTTCCAAAGCAGAGCAAGGGATGGATAATAATACCTGGGTAATAAACACCTGCTCCTAGGTAATGGTGGTTGACATGGTGTTTTCAAGTGGGAATAACAGCAGTGTTTTCTTTGTTGTTACACCAGTTGGTGTAACAACTAAGTAAACCTTATTGTGTGTCAGGTAAGAACTGGAATTCTCTGCCCATGCTGGTGAGGGGCAATTATAGACCTTGGTACCATGTTCCATAGCCATAAAATGTATCTTCACACCCAGGGTAAGAAGGTGTGTCTCAGCAGCAGAAGCCATCTAACACCAGTCAGAATAAATAAACACTACCTTGGGGTTCACAGCTTGACACAAACAACACGAACACTTGGCTGCAGGTGGGGCATCAGCACACTCACAGAAACCTGCTCCTGCCTCAGCAACAGCAATGGCTCTAGCACATCACCCACGAGGAGCTCACTCACAGTGGGGGTTAGGCTGCCTAGGGACATCAGACACAGCGAATGCTCTTTGCAGCAGAGGTTTCAAATGTAAACTATGTACAAACTGGTGCTTTGTGGGGGGAGGATCTCCCTGCTTCCAAAAGCTATCAGGCAGCTGTTGTGCCAAAGCATTAGGATCATTTCTCTAAGTGGCAAAAGCAATCAGGTTGCAGAAACATCTTTAATTTGCCATCAGATTTTGTCAAAGGTGAAAATTATTTGCTCTTATCAAAGTCTGGGGGGGGTTATGAGGAGAAAACCTTTTAATGAATGCCTCCCTGGGCCCTTTATGCAACTCACTTTTTAAAACCTTTTGATTGTTTTCCATTAATTATTAGGTTTATCTTATCTTTATTATCTTCCAGTACTGGTTGGCATTTTGTAATGTCTCTTTGCCCAGGCTGTGATCCTTTCTTGCGTTTTTGTTGGGTTTTTCCTCCCCCCCCCAAAGACTACTGGTTTGTTTGTGTTAGACTAAGGCTTTTCTCTCTCTATTTCCTTTTTCCTCTCTCCTTGCTGTCTCCCAAGGAATCTCCACCCCCAGCAAGCACCAGAGGGCACCTTGGTCCCACTTCAGCCAGGTCCAGCAGCACTCTGAGCCTGCTGCTGTGGGGAGAGGTTCTGGGTTAAGCACAAAGCCAGTGCAGCACAGAGCATGGTGGGACCAGGATGCTTCAAGTTCTTCCCGAAGTACTCCATAAATCCACTTTTGGGGTTGTTTTTTCATTCTGCTGTGAGCTAGCAGCCACAGCCTCTGCTTGCTGCTCTCTGTGTGCTCATTAAAGAGCACAAAAGCTCTGCTTAAACCGTAAATCCTGTAATGGCTGAACAATGCTGGTGATGTACTTAATGAATGATATATAAAACCACATTTACTTCTATGAACATTCAACTCTACCATCACATCAATAAGGGGAGGCATTAAGGAGGGACTTTTGAGAGCAGAACTGTTTGCTACCCCAATTCTAAAGTGCAGTAGGTGCTGTTGGACTGTGTGAACCAGTGCGAGTGCTGCTCTCAGACCTCCTGAGGCACCTGGGGCTGCCAGAGCTGGCCCTTCCCAGCGTGCCAGGCCAGCAGCTCTCTGCCTGAGGGGTTAGCATGTGGAGGAAGGGTAAGACAGACCAGAGATTGGGTACTGGGAAGGAAAATTCTCACAGTGAGGATGGTCAAACACTGGAATAGGGCCCAGAGGGGCTGGGGGTTCCTCAGCCCTGGAGATACTCAACATCCACCTCTGCCTGGCCCTTCTTTCAACACAGGTGACTGCCAGAGGTCACCTCTGGCTGATTGTTTTTCAGTGACTCTGTCACTGTTAGTGTCATTTATAACACTGATAGTGTGGTACTGCCAGAGGAGTGTCAAAAGGACTGAACTACCTACTTACTGCAGTGGTTTAACACCAGCAAAGATGTGTGAATCACAAAACTGAGGAGTTAAGAATAAGCAGTTTGCATTTAGGAATGCCAAAGAGAGTCATGGGATTCCTGGGAGGGTGTGATGAAGGTGATCTGTAACTTTTGCTATCAAACCTTTCATGAGCATTAGGACTGTTCTGCCTTTGTGGTCTCTTCTCCAGACTAAAAGAACTTTGGTTGGATGCTCTCTGAGGTAAGCATTGGGAACCTTTGCCTCACGGATGGTGACACCCAAAGCAGTCAGCATTGGCCTACTCTGACTCCTTGGGTCAGTCCCAGGGGGCTAAATCTGCGAGTTCTCTACAGGAATTAAGACCTGGACATTCTTTTTCTGCTTGTGTGAGGTGGGCTTGGTGTGTGTCCCACTGAAAGCCCCAAGGGGGTCTGTGTGCAGCAGCAGGATCTCCTAGAGGACTCTTCCAAGCCACAAGCAGACTAGGGATGCCAATAAGTGGACAAGAGGAGAGGCCTCTGCCTCCCTTATCTTGTTAAAAAAAATAAGGTGAACTAACTTTTAAAGTGCTAAAAATCTCTGTTAAAATAGT